TTACTCCCGGAAGCACAGTTCAGAGTGCAAATGGTTTCTTTGTTGCTAATCTGTATGGAAAATCTACAAGAAAGTTCTACAGAAAGTAGCAACGGGTCCTGAGAAATGTCGCTAGGTTTGTCGCTAGGTGCTTTTTGGAAAAAAAAAGTCGTTGAGTGGGGTCAAAAAGTCGTTAGGAACAGCGACAAAGTTGCTGAGTTGGCAACACTGGTCGACTCCCAGTTAGGTCATCTAGCTAATGTATATACGATACCTATGGTTATGCATCCACATTTATGTTGTGCATTCCAGTGGGCGCTGGAGAGCATAACAGGGTCGCTGCCATATTGAATGAGTCTCCTCGTTTTCCAAAGTCAAGAGCAAGCTACAATGCCCGTTTCTATGCAGTGTAACGTGATGAAGGAGCCATTTCTACCCTCTAACAACGGTTCCCTTTTGACACAGTGCCAGAGTGCATGAAACAGCCTCAAGGTCATGCATTCGCTTCTAAACTGTTTACGTTCCAGCAATGAAGACAGAAGAACGAAGAATGAACTCTTTTCTTTTAATTAATCAAAGAACTCTATTTTAATAAAGCTAATCCATCAGAGTGTTAGTCAATATAATAAGATGTGACCGACCTGTGAAATCAAAATATTAATTACTTTATTATGATCCTATAGAAATAATAAGTACTGTGATTTTAAAGGGACTTTACGGAGTTTTGAATTTTTATGCTCGCGATTGCCCCCTCAGGCCAAAAGCGTAACGGCAGCTTCAATAGTAGGCTCGTGGACGAGGCACGCATGCTGTACGTGCACACTCCTTAACGAAAATAACAGCTGAGACAGTCCCGTGTGTGTGTGTGTGTGTGTGTGTGTGTGTGTGTGTGTGTGTGTGTGTGTGTGTGTGTGTGTGTGTGTGTGTGTGTGTGTGTGTGTGTGTGTGTGGCCCGGAGGACAGAGGACAGGAGAACGCGCAGCTACTTAATTAAATAATTTGGTTCTGTACCTTTCTCTTCAGCACAGCCGACAAAGGTTTAAGATGGGTCAGTCCTCCTGCATGCTTAGACCATTCCCTTCCCTTGCTTGAAAAATTGTTCCAAAATGAAAGTTGAACCCACATCTTTTTTATCTGTGAATTCAATGCCGTTCGGCGAGTAAAAAAAAAAATTGGGCATCTTACTGTAAAAAAAATATACCATTAATGTAAAAAATAAACTAATTCAACCATATTCACATTTTGAATCGAACCCGGGTCTCCTGCACAAGAGTCTGACATCTCACTAGGTGAGCTAAAGCATCAGTGACATCATTTGTATCTGTAACTTTTATATGCTAGATGACAGCTGAAACAACGTTCAAAGAAAAGTTCAGAGCGAAAATGGCTATTTTGTTGCTAATTTGCAAGAAATATCCAGAAGAACGTAGCTAAGGGTCCTCAGAAATGTAACTAGGATCATCACAACTTCTGTGATGAATATTTCAGAGAGCCAAAAGCATGACAGGCAGAGAATTATTTTTTCTCATGAGATTAAAACGGCCTGAGATGGCTGTGACAGCTGGCTTTCAAACAGATCCTATCATAAAGAATAAGAGAGCAGAGTCGTCACACCCCCATAAACTAAAAATATTCTTGAAAAATGCATCTGAGGACATGTGCAGCCAGCTCCAGTGACTAAATAAACGAAGGGATCAGGATTAGGACCCAGGCACCAGTCTGCGTAAAAGACCGATGCATGTCTCATTGAGACTTTAGATTCACACAACCCAAGAAAAAATACTGTAACGTAATGGTAATGAAATGTGCTTCTTTTGGAAGCAGTGTCTAACGCGATTTGTTTTACTAACCCATTAGTTATGAAATTAGTGATTATTGTCAAATAATTCAAAAGAAAGCAGAGTACTGCACCCCTACATAAGACACATGAAATCAACTTCTCGGTCTTGGAAGTGTGATGTATCACCCCAACGTCACCCCAAGATTCATTTAGTAATGTATTTAGTGAAAAACACAGCAAGAATGCCTCTCTAATTGGCCTGCCATTTAATTAATTAGTTAATTATTAATTCAATAATGTCTTCGAAGAGGGCGGGTGGAGGTGCGCTTTAAAACACTGCAATAAAATGTCTCAGTGTCAGATGGCAGGTTGCTTTTAAAATATCTTCAGGAATTGTCTAGTTATTAGAAATTACAACATAAAAATGATGCCTAAACTATATAATAACCTAGCATTATTGGCTGTGTGTCGTGTAGGGAGCCTAGGTCTCCTCCCTTTCCGGTCGGCTCACGGTTCACCGGAAGAATGAAAAAATGGATGCAAGTCAACGGGGCTAAAAGAGCTACAGTGGGGCAAAAAAGTATTTAGTCAGCCACCAATTGTGCAAGTTCTCCCACTTAAAATGATGACAGAGGTCAGTAATTTACATCATAGGTACACTTCAACTGTGAGAGACAGAATGTGAAAAATAATCCATGAATTCACATGGCAGGATTTTTAAATAATTTATTTGTAAATCAGGGGGGAAAATAAGTATTTGGTCACTTCAAACAAGGAAAATCTCTGGCTCTCACAGACCTGTAACGTCTTCTTTAAGAAGCTTTTCTGTCCTCCACTCGTTACCTGTATTAATGGCACCTGTTTGAACTCATTATCTGTATAAAAGACACCTGTCCACAGCCTCAAACAGTCAGGCTCCAAACTCCACTATGGCCAAGACCAAAGAGCTTTCGAAGGACACCAGGAAAAGAATTGTAGACCTGCACCAGACTGGGAAGAGTGAATCTACACTAGGCAAGCAGCTTGGTGTGAAAAAATCAACTGTGGGAGCAATTATCAGAAAATGGAAGACATACAAGACCACTGATAATCTCCCTCGATCTGGGGCTCCACGCAAGATCTCATCCCGTGGGGTCAAAATGATCATGAGAACGATGAGCAAGAATCCCAGAACCACACGGGGGGACCTGGTGAATGACCTGCAGAGAGCTGGGACCACAGTAACAAAGGTCACCATCAGTAACACACTACAACGGCAGGGAATCAAATCCTGCAGTGCCAGACGTGTTCCGCTGCTGAAGCCAGTGCATGTCCAGGCCCGTCTGAAGTTTGCCAGAGAGCACATGGATGATACAGCAGAGGATTGGGAGAATGGCATGTGGTCAGATGAAACCAAAGTAGAACTTTTTGGTATAAACTCAACTCATCGTGTTTGGAGGAAGAAGAATACTGAGTTGCATCCCAAGAACACCATACCTACTGTGAAGCATGGGGGTGGGAACATCGTGCTTTGGGGCTGTTTTTCTGCTAAGGGGACAGGACGACTGATCCGTGTCAAGGACAGAATGAATGGGGCCATGTATCGTGAGATTCTGAGCCAAAATCTCCTTCCATCAGTGAGAGCTTTGAAGATGAAACGTGGCTGGGTCTTCCAACACGACAATGATCCCAAACACACCGCCCGGGCAACAAAGGAGTGGCTCCGTAAGAAGCATTTGAAAGTCCTGGAGTGGCCTAGCCAGTCTCCAGACCTCAACCCCATAGAAAATCTGTGGAGGGAGTTGAAAGTCTGTGTTGCTCGGCGACAGCCCCAAAACATCACTGCTCTCGAGAAGATCTGCATGGAGGAATGGGCCAAAATACCAGCTACTGTGTGTGCAAACCTGGTAAAGACCTATAGTAATCGTTTGACCTCTGTTATTACCAACAAAGGTTATGTTACAGAGTATTGAGTTGAATTTTTGTTATTAACCAAATACTTATTTTCCACCCTGATTTACAAATAAATTCTTTAAAAATCCTGCCATGTGAATTCATGGATTTTTTTTCACGTTCTGTCTCTCACAGTTGAAGTGTACCTATGATGAAAATTACTGACCTCTGTCATCATTTTAAGTGGGAGAACTTGCACAATCGGTGGCTGACTAAATACTTCTTTGCCCCACTGTATTTTCTAAGCCACTTTACTTGAATCGCACATATGTTATATACTGCAATTTAAATGAAAAGTAATGAAGTGTGTTTCAACCACGCCAGTCACGTACTTTGAGAGTAGCTCAATAAAATTCGTCATTAGCATGACTGCAAATCAAATGTCAGTGTGTCGCATGTATGACGTCACCACAGAATCTCCTCTCCCCTAGCTTAGCTGCTACTTACCAAATCTCGTTTTATGGCATGGTCAAAACACACATCCTACTTTTCATTTAAATTGAAGTATGACGTGTGTGTGACTCAGGGCGTTAGGTAAAGCAGACTAGAAAATGTTGGGTATTTTATTTAATCAATCCAGGCGTACCTCAAAGAAAGTCCAACACACACAAGGGGTTGAGAGATTTAGGTTTTAGGTTATCAATACCATTTACCAATAAACACCAATAATCAACAACCGGATTTTGCAAAATCTGAGAGAAGGAAGATACACACCAATGGGATGTCGGTTCGGTCTCTCGACGAGCAGAAGCTCGCAAAAAGGTTTTATTCAAAAGTAACATAGCACACACACATTAAAGATAAACACACCCACTCCCTTCACAGAAAGCAAACTTTCCCAGGTTCTTGGTATAACAGAGAAACGCTCCATCTGGACTTCACTAGGGAGCTTTTTGTGATAACAGGACTGCAGACTTACAAGGTCGAACTTCTCTGCCAGAGGTGCAGAATAATAACAAAATATGAACAAGGAATGAACCTTCGTTTGAATTAACAAACACCAGATGGTACCCAGACAAAATCATTTCCATACATCCATACATCCAATACTGTTTTTATCCAACAGAAAATGTCTCTTTTAGCCCCGTTCACTTGCTTTCATTCTTCCTGGGAACTCATGAGCCGACTGGAAAGAGAGGACTCTCAGGCTCCCTATAGAAGAATACTCTCATGAGGGAGACAAAAAGTGTGAAATAAAACCATGTTTTTGTTTTGTGTCACAAATAAAACCCCTCCTCTTTTATCCAGGCTTGGGACTGGCAGACGTGACCCAAAAGGGACACTCAGGCAGAGTTAGTTTTTTTTTTTAATGTATTTTTTATTTTATGTGTCATTTTTATTCATTTATTAATCAAATGTAAACGTTTTCTATCTAAGGAAACCCAGCTGATGTGTTGAGTAAGGGTTAGGGTAACTTAGACGTAACCTGCTGAACCAAGAGCTGCTGTGTAAAGCAGCCTGTGTGCAGCAAAAGTTATTCAGTAATTAGCTTTTCATTTCAATTCACTCACCAGCTGCTCTGTCTCCATGAATAACTCGTTTCTGATCTACTGCTCAGAGCTTTTCTGTCTCGTCGAACACCTTTTTCTGTTCTTCTAGACTTCCCATCATCTCCTGCATTTCTGCTTCGTTAGTCTTAAACTTTGGGATGTTTTTCTTCAGTTTAGCTTTACCTTTCAGCAGTTTGTCGTAGACCTGATCCAATTTGATTTTTGTTTCCTCCAGTTTCTTTTTCTCATTGTTTTGTTTAATCATTTGTTCCTGCAGTAACCACCTTTCTTCCTCAACTGTAGCCTTCTGCTTGTCCACGAGCTGGGATCTGGCTTCCAGCTCGCATTTCTCTTCGTTTAGACGTCCAGTTGTAATTTCTATATATGTTTTCTCATAATTCAGGATTTGAACAGCATCTCTTATCTTCTGTTCGGTTTCAGTCTTTTTCTGTTAAAACTCAGATTGCTCATTGTGTAGATTTTCAATTCTAATTTCTAGATATGTTGTCTCCTCATTCAGCATTTCAACAACATCTCTTATCTCCTGTTCGGCTTCAGTCTTTTTCTGTTCAAACTCAGATTTTTCTTCGTGTAGATTTTCAATTCTAATTTCTAGATATGTTGTCTCATCATTCAGCATTTCAACAACATCTCTTAGCTTCTGTTCGGTTTCAGTCTTTTTCTGTTCAAACTCAGATTGCTCATTGTGTAGATTTTCAATTCTAATTTCTAGATATGTTGTCTCCTCATTCAGCATTTCAACAACATCTCTTAGCTTCTGTTCGGTTTCAGTCTTTTTCTGTTCAAACTCAGATTGCTCATTGTGTAGATTTTCAATTCTAATTTCTAGATATGTTGTCTCCTCATTCAGCATTTCAACAACATCTCTTAGCTTCTGTTCGGTTTCAGTCTTTTTCTGTTCAAACTCAGATTGCTCATTGTGTAGATTTTCAATTCTAATTTCTAGATATGTTGTCTCCTCATTCAGCATTTCAACAACATCTCTTAGCTTCTGTTCGGTTTCAGTCTTTTTCTGTTCAAACTCAGATTGCTCATTGTGTAGATTTTCAATTCTAATTTCTAGATATGTTGTCTCCTCATTCAGCATTTCAACAACATCTCTTAGCTTCTGTTCGGTTTCAGTCTTTTTCTGTTCAAACTCAGATTGCTCATTGTGTAGATTTTCAATTCTAATTTCTAGATATGTTGTCTCCTCATTCAGCATTTCAACAACATCTCTTAGCTTCTGTTCGGTTTCAGTCTTTTTCTGTTCAAACTCAGATTGCTCATTGTGTAGATTTTCAATTCTAATTTCTAGATATGTTGTCTCATCATTCAGCATTTCAACAACATCTCTTATCTCCTGTTCGGTTTCAGTCTTTTTCTGTTCAAACTCAGATTTTTCTTCGTGTAGATTTTCAATTCTAATTTCTAGATATGTTGTCTCATCATTCAGCATTTCAACAACATCTCTTATCTCCTGTTCGGTTTCAGTCTTTTTCTGTTCAAACTCAGATTGCTCATTGTGTAGATTTTCAATTCTAATTTCCAGATATGTTGTCTCATCATTCAGCATTTCAACAACATCTCTTATCTTCTGTTCGGCTTCAGTCTTTTTCTGTTCAAACTCAGATTTTTCTTCGTGTAGATTTTCAATTCTAATTTCTAGATATGTTGTCTCATCATTCAGCATTTCAACAACATCTCTTATCTCCTGTTCGGTTTCAGTCTTTTTCTGTTCAAACTCAGATTTTTCTTCGTGTAGATTTTCAATTCTAATTTCTAGATATGTTGTCTCATCATTCAGCATTTCAACAACATCTCTTAGCTTCTGTTCGGTTTCAGTCTTTTTCTGTTCAAACTCAGATTGCTCATTGTGTAGATTTTCAATTCTAATTTCTAGATATGTTGTCTCCTCATTCAGCATTTCAACAACATCTCTTAGCTTCTGTTCGGTTTCAGTCTTTTTCTGTTCAAACTCAGATTGCTCATTGTGTAGATTTTCAATTCTAATTTCTAGATATGTTGTCTCATCATTCAGCATTTGAACGGCGTCTCTTATTTCCTGTTCGGTTTCAGTCTTTTTCTGTTCGAACGCAATTCTCTGCATATTTAGGTTTTCTTTAAGAGCTTCAAGCAGAAGTTTCTCATCATCCAGAGCTTTTCTCATATTTATTAAATCCTGCTCAGAGCTTTTCTTTCTAATTTCTAGATCCATTTTCTCATCATTCAGCATTTGAACGGTGTCTCTTATCTCCTGCTGTGATTCAGTCTTTGTTTTCTCACAGTCAAGCTGACGTTTCTCATCATCCAAAGCTTCTCTCATAGTTACAAACTCCAGCTCTGAGCTTTTCTTCGTCTGTTCAAACAACGTTTTATCTGCTTCGAGTTGAATTTTCATGTTTTCAATCTCTCTATCAGCGTCTGCTTTGGCTCTCTCGATGTCCTTTATGTGTGTCTTCAATTTCTCATTTTCCTCCTGTAGGTTTTCATAAACCTCTTTCATTTGGAGTTTTGCCTGCTCAAGATGATGCCATTCCTCTTGTAGGCTTACTTTTTCTTCCTGCAGGTCGTTGCTCTGAACTGCTAAATTGTCTTTCAAAAGTTCAATCATTTCTCTTTCATCGTGCTGAAAAGTCTGAATTTCATTGATCTCGTAATCTGATAGAGATCTTTCCTCTTCAAAGTCTTTTCTCTGCTCCAGCAGAAGAGATTTCATACCCTCTATTTCCTCAATTGACCTAACTTTGCTGATTTCAAAATCTTCTCGATTTTTTGGAAGTTTAAACATTTGTTCTTCAAGCCCTTGAATCAGAGCTGTGAATTTAAACTTTAATCCTTGAATAATAGAATTTTCCTTCATTCTGGTTTCTTGGATTTGCTGTTTAACTGCATCAATGACAGAGGGAAACATGAATTCAGTGTCAAGGCTCTGAGTACTGGGCTCAGATATGACTTGGTGAAACGGGGTTTCCTCAAACCCTTCACGCTCCCTACTGATGTTCTGTTTTAAGGCTTGAATTCTAGTATATTCGTTCATTCTGGATTCCTGGATTGGCTGTTTAACTGAATCGGTGACAGTGGATAAACTGAATTCAGTCACAAGTGTCAGGTTACTGTGCTCCTCAGACATAAAGAACCTTTGAGTTTCTTTAGAAAAAAGCTGAATTTCTGCTTTTAAAAACTCACCTGAGGTTAAACTGCTAGTAATCAGAAGTGAAATAAGCCAGAAAAACACGAAACACCTTTGAAACGTTTTTTTTCCCCAACCGGTATCCGACGTGCAACACCTACCAACCACAAGGCTGAAATAAGCTAACAGGTAGCAGTGAGTGACGTATTAAAGGGAAAGAAGATGACCCGACGCTTACGCTTGGTCACGTGATTGACGTACAGACGCTGGCAGGTAGTAGTGACGTATTAAAGGACTAGGAAAGGAGATGCAGACCCGACGCTTGGTCACGTGATTGACGTGCAGACGCTGGCCGAACGTTCGTTTCTGAGTTTATGCGCATAGATATATATATTAGCTAGATCCCTCACCCGCGCTGTTTTTTTATTATCAATATATGCTTATTACAATTTCTCGTGGAGACAACAACACATAATGGAAACATGCAAGGCATCCTTAGTAACAATAAAAGAAAAACAAATAAGAAACTTAAAAAGAGGCACTTATATCACAAAGTAAAAACAGTGTTGCAAGATTAAAAAATTTTCTGCAGCATGACAAATGGCTTTTGCAGTTGCATTGGAATTTTTTGTACGAATCAAAGTGAATAAGAACATACGGAATTAATCTATTAAACAGGTAATGTTTGGCAGTTGTTTTTTCCATTTGCTTTCGTGGATGTGGCATTTACCCATAATAATAATGTTAACAATGAATTATTCCCATTTAATTAAGAATTTTAAATAAGAATATCTTCATTTGTAAAACGATCAAGTTCTCTTATTTTATTTCTTAACCAACAAAGGACTTCTTCCTAAAACTTCTTACTGACAGGACAGCTGAAAAATAAGTGTTCTATTCCTTCAGGTCTTCCCTTAGAGAATTCACAAGGGTCAAATTCAAAACCAAATCTCTTCCTCGGTGTCTCTGCTGATGGATAGTAGTTGTTAAGAATTTTAAATTGCATTTCTTTTACTTTTGGCATTTTAGGCCATTTTAGAAATTTTTATTGTTTTCCTTCAATTAACGGATTTCCTAATATTTTTAGTTTAATCTTTATATCATAATCATGATAGATATATTTTTAAAGGCTCCATTTAAAAATTTATTTTCACATTTTCTTTCTGTGATGTTCAATTCTCCTATTAATAAATTAGGAAGTTTTGTTTGAACATTAGAGAATAGGATTGTGTTTTTTATCATCTGTATCAAAGTCACTGGTATAGCCTTACATACTTTCTCATATTCCTGAAGAGAACATTGAATGTTATTAAATTTGTATTTAAAATTCTGTAGCTGTAATATTTCACAATCTTTATCCATAATATCATGTACAAAGATAATTCATTGATCAAACCACTGCTGGTCATAACTTTTAAATTAAACACTGACAAAAATTGGATGACCTTTTCCCATTTGGAGTGTTTATAGAGGAAGTAGAGACCCTCACTGCAGCACAGGATGCAGCAGTAAGCTTTTGTGTAATATTATCCCTTCATGGGTTTTCTAATCCATCCATCCATCCATCCATCCATTTTCATCCGCTTATCCAGAGTCGGGTTGCGGGGGCAATAGCCTAAGTCGAGAGGTCCAGACTTCCCACTCCCCAGCCACTTGGGCCTGCTCCTCCGGGGAAATCCCAAGGTGTTCCCTGGCCAGGTGACAGACAGTCCCTCCAACATGTCCTGGGTCTACCTTTAGGCCTCCTCCTGATTGGACGTGCCCAGAAAACCTCACCAGGGAGGTGTCCAGGAGGCATCCTGACCAGTTGCCCAAGCCACCTCAACTGGCTCCTTTTGATGTGGAGGAGCAGCAAATCTACTCCGAGCCCCTCCTGGATGACCGAGCTTCTCACCCTATCTCTAAGGGAAAGCCCGGAGAAAACTAATTTCGGCTGCTTGTATCTGCAATCTTGTTCTTTCGGTCACTACCCAAAGCTCATGACCATAGGTGAGGGTAGGAACGTAGATCTACCGGTAAATCAAGAGCTTCGCCTTCTGACTCCCCTCTCTCTTCAACACGACAGACCGGTACAATGCCCGCATCACTGCAGATGCACCACCAATCCGCCTATCAATCTTACGCTCCAGTTTTCCCTTACTTGTGAGCAAGACCACGACATACTTAAACTCCTCCACTTGGGGCAGGACCTAATCCCTGACCCGGAGGAGGCATTCTACCCTTTTCCGACTCAAGACCATGGTCTGATTCTCATCCCAGCTGCTTCACACTTGGCTGCAAACCGCTCCAGCGAAAGCTGAAGATCACGTTCTGATGAAACAAACAGGACCACATCATCTGCAAAAAGCAGAGTCCTGATCCTCAGGTCACCAAAACGGATGCCCTCAACACCTTGGTTGCGTCTAGAAATCCCATCCATAAAGGTAATGAACAGAATCGGTGACAATGGGCAGCCTTGGCAGAGTCCAACTCACTGGGAACGAGCCCGACTTACTGCTGGCAATTCAGACCAAGCTCTGACACCGGTCATACAGGGACCTAACAGCCCATATCAGAGGGCCTGGTACCCAATACTCCCAGAGAACCCCCGAGGGACGCGGTCAAACGCCTTCTCCAAATCCACAAAACACATGTAGATTGGTTGAGCAAATTCCCACGTACCCTCCAGGATCCCCCTAAGGGTATAGAGCTGGTCCAGTGTTCCATGGCCAGGATGAATACCACATTGCTCCTCCTGAATCTGAGGTTCAACAATCTGAGGGACCCTCCTCTCGAGAACCCCTGAATAGACCTTACCAGGAAAGCTCAGGGGTGTGATCCCCCTGTAGTTGGAGCACACCCTGCGGTCCCCCCATTTGAATAAGGGGACCACCATCCTGGTCTGCCAGTCCAGTGGGACTGCCCCCGATGTCCACGTGATATTGCAGAGCCGCATCAGCCAACACAGCCCCACAACGTCCAGAGCCTTAAGGAACTGCGGGTGGATCTCATCCACCCCCGGAGCTTTGCCACAGAGGAGCTTTTGAACCACCTCAGTGACCTCAGCACCAGAGATTTGAGAGGCCAACCCAAAGTCCACAGACTGCTTCCTCACTGGAAGACGTTTCAGTGGGATTGAGGAGGTCTTCGAAGTATTCTGCCCACCAATCCACAACATCCTGAGTAGTAAGGGCTTCCTAATGATTTAAAAAAAACTACAAAGAGCACATTTTAAAAATTCTTTATTTTCTTATAATCAATGTTTGAAGCAAGAATATTAAACAAAAATGCTGAGCAGAACTCGACCAGGCTTGGTTCTGGTTGGGTTTTGTCTGATTAGATTTTTTTCATTTTCTAACAGGTTCTGCTTTACTCATTGGCAAGGTGCGAGGAACACAAACAGGGGAAACATTTAAAACCCACCACCCATACGAATACCCTCTTCAGCACAACCACAGAAATTTTAAAAGAAAAAAAAGATCATGGTATATTTACACAACTTTCACTCATTTTTCCTAAACCTTAGTAACAAACACATCTATCATTCAACTGCACATTTCCTCATCCTACACCGTCCCTTTGGATTGCTACAATTCAGATACGCTTGTGCCAACAATGTTCCTCTAGAGTGGCAGGATCATTTCTGCCTGAACACAGATTTTTACGGTCACCATTATTCTGCTGCTCAAAGTGCATCTTTGAGACCCACTGAATTGAAAGACCGGTGTACTCAGCCAAGAGATTCTTGGTATGAAATCCATGTTTCCTACCTGCTCCGATGGAAAATCCCAGCAGCTTTCTGCTGTTAGACGGAGCAGCAGGACTCTTGGAACGTTTTAAATCCAGACACCTCCCTTCTTCCACTCACTACAACAGTCTAATACACACTTCCAGGGTTTCCTCTATGGCACTTTCAGGTCTTTACAGTGTTCACAATTAATGAAGGCAAACAGACTGAACCATTACCCGTCTCAGCTTCCCATTGGGAAACCAGTTTAAAAAAATCAAAAATAGAGCTTTTATTGGAGCAGGTTGGACCACTTACTGGTTCCTAGATTTGTACTGAATGGAAAAATAAACTCAGAATAACTAAAAAGTGGAAGTGCTAAGAGGGATATAAGCACAGCTGGAACAAGAAACAGGTTAAAACTAACCAGGGAGTGGCATCTAAACTATTTTATCGTTTCTCCAGATTAGAGGCAGGTCTTAGATTTTTATAATCTCTAGAATAAGAAACAAAAATTAGGAATATCTGAAGCGATGGGAAACTAAAAGCCAAAGGTATAAGGGACATCTACACACACAGTCCTAGAGGTCTGTAGTAACATCCAGCTTTACAACCAGGTTTGAAATTTTCAAGTTGATATGTTAATTATTTTCTTTTGTGATTGTGCAGAAAATACAGATCTGGGGTGTCATATCATGAAAAAAAAAAAAAAAACCTCAACTTATGGGTTCAGGAAGCCCATGAACAATAAACACTGATGCTGGAGGCTGCACTTTGACAAAACAAACCTGATCAGATCAGTGGAACGTCGTTTTCTCCTGTTATTTTAGCAGGCTGATTTTATGACACAAAAATAAAAATGTAAGAAATAAAATGAAACCGGAGCAGCAAATCAATGTGTTCAGCATCCGTACAAACCGCCATCCGTTATTTAGCATGTCTAAAGAGACCAACGTGAATGCATTTCTTCATTTGTTTTCAATTTTAATTTAATAGAAAAGAGTCTGCAGCATCAAGTTTTACTGTTTGCATTTTAAAGAGAAAAATACTGTTAACAAGGTGTAAACATAATCCGTAATTTGGCAACGTTTTCATTTTGGGCCAGGCTAACATGAAACATGAGAGCTGTTTAAGAATACAGACACATCAACATACAAAGGAAGTGTTGTTGACACACGGTTTGTTTGTTTGTTTTGGTCGTTCTGAAATTAGAAGAATTAGGACGTTTTTATCCGACAAGGCAAAATCAAAAGAAATGAGTTGTATGTCACCAATATGCAAAAAATACGTTCTGTTAAATTTACCACATCCTTCCTATTCCACCTGTGTTAACAGAGGGTTTGGGGCTAGCTAAGAAAAAGTTCATCTGGAATGTTGCTAGGGGTTTTTGCTTGGCAGGAGTCAGTCCAAACACTGTCATTAAGATAGGCAGTGACTGCTCCTGCAAACTCCCCAGCCAATGGAACGTCCTGAATTGTAGCGGGTTGGAGGCTGAAGGGTCCTTAAAGGTCAACTTTAGACATTTGCTCTTCAAGTTTGATGATTCGCTTCTCCTGACTGCTGATCAGGTCCTTGAGGGATTTGATTTCTTTCAGGATCTCCTCCATCTTTGCTTCGGATTTCTGGAAAAGAGATGAGTCATGAGAGATTTAGAACTTCCAAGTCCCGCTTACGGACTACAAGGTATTTGATTGGTTAGATTAGGATTCCTAAATAATGAAACCACGTGCTTGCTGCTAAAGTAACTTGAGAGGATTTCTGATGACAGACCTCAGTGCAGTGGTGCGAAAACAACTGACAAGATTATTTAGCTCTATAGAGATTCACAACAGTTTATACACCGAGGGGAAAAACGTACAATTGATGGAGTTGGGGAGGCAGACTTGTGGGCATGGCTGGAGTGCTCAGTCTTCTTGGTGCCTTTGCAATCCAAAGGGTTCTTCTTGACCACCTTAAACTCACGGTTCTTGCCCGGGACGTAGCCGTTCTTCAGGGAGATGAGGATAGGGTCTCCATTCTTACCATCAAACCATTCCTCAGCCTCCAGGGTGGGGTCTGGTCCAGCTGTGTCTGGGTACAAGTCGTCCTGGAACAGGTCAGACTTATAGAGCGAGAGAGAGAGTTTAACAACAAGATCTTTACCCAGAAAAGACGAGGATTTAACAGGAAGATGACCTTCAGATGAAGAGGTCATTCAGGATGTGGACTCACCTTTCTAGGAACAGTCATCACAATGGGTTCACACTTCCTTTCATGCAGTTTATAGAACCTAACACACACACACACACACACACACACACACACACACACACACACACAACAAATGCAGTCATTTTTAGTAAATTGGTGACACTCTGCCTCCTAGTGGTGAAACCAGGAGCCACCCCATCTTGCTTACCTTGCAATTTCACACTTGTTCACATCAAGGCCCCTCTTGGGCATGTAGCCCATGCCTCTTTGAGGCTCCTTGGTGACAAAGGTGTTCAGGAAGTGAACATATGGAGCCTCATCTGTGATCTCAAAGTAGCGGATGCTGCTGTCACCCTGGCAAGAAAGAAGGTTGAGTTTTATTTCTGTTTGGCCGTTTTTTAACCTCCATACCAAGTGCTGCGCTATTTTGACACACGAGTAACTAAAATGCTTACACACCTTCCCACAGAGGTAAACCACGTTGGTATCTGCGTCATAGAAGGGCAAAAGCACTCCATTGCTGGTGTCCATCTCATTAACAGTCATGGGTTCCTCCATGTTTTGCTAAAAACAAAAACAAAAATGGATTGTGGTCAAAACTCTGTGGGATGAATGCATTACTGACAAGTTTAAAACACGTGGATAAAACAACAGCACAGAGTGTTTGTGTTACCACATTCCAGAGAGCCAGCTGTCTCTCACTCATGCGACTGAAACCGGTGGAGAGGATGTTGCCATCTGAGAGAAAAATGGCCCTCATGGGTCGAGCGCCCTCGTGCGCCTTCTCCTTCTCCTGTGAAGCACATGTCAGACGTGACTAATCTCTGACTGCTACGAGTTCAAAGTCAGCCTAACAACAAACACTTGGAAGTATATATAAATGCTATGAAAAACATTCTTGCTGTGTGAGACACTACACAGAATCAAAACACAAATGTCGCAGCAGGTTAGAGAACCGCTCACAGCGATGATGGTTTCCTTGCGCGGGTCGATGACACGGATGGACTTGTCCTTGCAGGAGGTGCAGATGAGGCTGCCGTTACGGTTCCAGGAGACGTTGTAGATAACATCAGGGTGCATGTCCTCCAGGGTGATCATGGACTCCCCTGTGCCCACGTTCCAGATAATTACCTGGTTGTCACAACCTGAATGTGGATGGAAGTAAAGGTCAACATCACTCAGCATTTATTGTTCTTACAGCTGCTGCTAAAATGTCACGTTTCTCATGTGAACTGCAGCCCGGGCTTCTCACCTGCACTAAGGAGGACGTTGCGTGCTGTTGGATGCCACGTGATGATGCCCACACGCTTAGAGTGGCCTTCCAGGACCACCACTGGCTCCGCCATAGGGGTGACAAGGCCATTCTCAGGAATCTGCCATACCTACGGAGGACCAAATACACATGGATGACACACTAGCCTGCCAGAAGTTATTCTCTGGAGAATAAATTAATAAAAACTAATTGTGTAGACAACTAAAGGCAAGACGTGGCTACAAAACAAATGTTCAGTTATTACCAAAAGAGACCTGAAGGGGGCAGCAGTGGCTAAGACTCCGAGCATGTAACTCAGGGACAGAAATGTTAAAAACAAAAATTAAATCATCTTTTAAAAAGTTGTTTTAAATAGAAATCCCTTTCAGAACACAAAGCAACAGATTCATGGGTTTAAGACTAGAATATGACTACCAAACCTCTCAGTCAGCGCGATCCAGGATCATAAACCTTTACACCACCTATGAAGTTATGTAACAAAACATTTGTGCAACCTGTATTATTCTGTGACATCAACGCCCCTCCCCACCACCACTGATCTGATAATCCCCTCTTTTTGCTCAATGTGGCCAACATGTTCGGTTTCTATTTATATTTCAAAACAGGAAGTTTGGCCTTTCAGGTAAGGAAGTGGTCAGAACTAGCGTTGGCCAAATAAGGACACTTAAGGGAAGAATACATACAGGCTCAAAAAACATCAGTGACCTCAGCTCAATAAACAGTGAAATCATTCCCCAGCTCTGATTCCTGCAACACATATTTGAGCCTAATCTAATCCAGAGGGTGAGGCCTGCAGCCATCACTGGTTTGCAACAGTCTGGCCTCTTGCAATCAACACATCAAGTCTCTATCATTTTAGAGATTCAGATGATTATCCAGCGTTTTCCACTCATTTAGTTTCAGGTGTGACTTGTGAAGGAGGCCGTACCATCACTGTGCAGTCCTCGGAGCCGCTGGCGATGACCTGGTCGTTGTGGGGGCACCAGTCGATGTCTAGCACGGGGCCTGTGTGGCCACATACTGTTGGGTAGGCTTTGTCGATGCGTCCAGTCTGGAACAACAAACAGACCAATGAGATTATTCTGATCCGTTTCCAATCAGTATAATTTTGGCAATCTTTAAATCCTACCTACAAAAACAAAATAACAAAAAACTTGGGATTTACTGTGATGAGTAATCATGGAGCATCAAAGAACACGCTGAAATGGCAAAAACAAACATTTCTTTGTCATCTACAGTCAGAAGTAAACCATAGACACCAAACTTCATTTTCAAATGAGTTTAGAATTATGAAATGAGGTAATTTTTTTTACTGCAACACAAGAGTCATATTAGTTAACTGCAATAACAAAAGTCTTGGTGGTTTCTGAAGGAAAATGATCGATAAAGAGAAGGAAATCAGAAATTACGGATGTGTCAACAGTTCATCTTTTCTTCTGCGTTACTCATCTTAGATGCTATAATTAAAGGCTTAACTGTACTGCTGAGTGGCGGTCCAAACAGTGTTGCATTCTGTAATGACGACCAAACCAACAATCTATAGTGTATGCAAGACTAACCAAGAGCTTTTAAAGCATTAATGTCAGTTGGAAAAGCAGATTTGTCCTTTCTTTGAACATTGATGAGGTGATACCTTGCATCGTTGCACAACGTGTTAAAACTAAATTTGAAATATCTCACTATAAAATTCTGACCAGGCTTTTAAACCAAACCGCCTAAACCCCAAGAATCATTCTTGGTTCTCCACATCATCATTCAGCCAAAACTCAGGCTTACTGGTGCTACAGAAGCAGATTAGATTTAACCCCAAATGGACCAACCGTTGTAATTAAAGAACGTTCCTAACAGAGACATCACTTTACACCAGATGCACGCCAACAGACTCTTAGCTTCTCGTTCAAACTAGTAATCTTAATTCAAGCAATAAACTTCACCATCTATATAATCTACTTACACAACTGGTGAATTAGGCTAGAAAGATGACGTGAAAACAAGCCTTTACATCTGAACCCCATCACCATGGAGACAACGTGCTTTTAACGAACAGTAGGGTGATTTAGCAACGTCCTGGATGTCTGGAACACACCCTAGTCTACTGCGCTGACTCAAAGTACCAGCACAGGGCCAGATGATGTCACAGCTCTATTAAAAGTAAAAGTCTAACACAAGAAATGCTCTCTCAAACACACACACACACACACACACACACACACACACACACACACACACACACACACACACGCACACGCACACGCTGCCTACAGCTACTCTAACTGTATACTAGGAATAGCAACAGAGGTGACTCAAGAGCATACCTTCTACATCTAGTACTACTGAGTAAGGAGTACTATAAAAACTGAGCCATAAAGCTCAGGAGAACAGTCAATGTAATTAAGATAATATGTTAAGAATACGCATCATTAAACAGGCACAAGTTGGTTTGGAGCAGAGCATCTGAGACATCTGTTACAGCCTTCAACAACATAACCTTTTCTAAAGAAATGGAGAACTTCACTGCTGCGTGTCATCTTGTTGATAGCCTTTATGTCAGTTTAAAGTTTCTTAAATGGAGCAGAAATGTTGGTTGGAGGAGACTGTTTTGTTTACCACCTTGTTTTTGTTTTCATCTGGGTTTAAACAATCATAGTCCCCAAATTAAATGTTCCATGATGGAATACAATGAAAATGTGCCTCGGGACTCTTCGTCTGCCAAATATACACGCTGGACATTTTCACAACTACATCTGTAATCACCACCTGCTGAACTTTTAAAAGCTGCCTGAAAACTTTGTATCCAACTCTAATTAAAACAAAGTCCACGCCAAGTTGTCTTTTTTTTTTTTGGCCAGCAAAATATATGACCTAGTTATTTTTAAAGGAAACTGGAAAAAAAGGAACAAAAAAATAAATTCAAACAAATTAAACTTAGGAAAATATTAGCAATGAATGAATAACGCTCATCGTTCCTCTGGATTTTATTTCTTACCAGCAAGACCACAAGATACCAGATAATATAAATAAAGTCGGGGGTGGTCCAAGTAAGCTATATTGGATTTTAAAACATGGTGGTTTCAAAGCTTCTCTCCAGACGCTGACTGAGGCAGTTTGTTGCTTTAGCTCAAGAAAAGGTTGACACTGAATTAGTTCTGGTTTTCCAAAACCTGCATTGGTGTAAAAACTAACTTATTGCAATTAGAACCACTTTGGTTGACCGACTTTCACCATTTAGAAATCAAAGCAGGAGGGCGTACAAATTACAATCCTTTATCTAAAACTTGTCATAAACACTGCTGAACACACCCTGAAGCCTACACCAAACACAAAGTAGACTTTGACACTACTGACTTCAGAAATCTATGATCCATTACTCTTAATCAGATCAAATTAGCATTATGAGACACGCAGCTTGGTAAAACTAAAATACCACTTTTAGAGAATAACAAAAAACAAATAAAAGCAAAAAACTTGCTACAAGACTTTGTAGCCAAATGATATACAAATGTACGGCAACAATATAGCCCGAGTCCAAGTATTCCTGTATCTAATGTTCTAAAGGCAGCAGGAAGAGGATGTAAAGCAGGAAGGAAACATGCTGATGACCAGCACCAGAAACTACATAAAAACAAAGAATAATCTGACCGGGTGTAAACCAACAGAACATACTAAATAATATTGAACAGATTTAACATAGTGGATCATGTTCAGACAGGCCAAAGGTCTGCACACCCACAGGACAAGCAAGCTTCACTTTGAGTCAAAACAAAACCCAACCAGTTCTGACACGTAGGACTAGGATTTCAGATTCAACGCGTTAGCGGAATTTGTTTCATCAACGTGTTCAAATTTCATGTTCATAGTATGACATGCAACATTCAGATTTGTTACAGATTAACATTTTAGAGTAAACATTTGGGTTGAGATGTTTTTAGCAAACTGTAACAACAAGGTTTTGCATTTTATGAATGACCTAAAGACAAATTAATTTGAAATGATTAAACCACACAGCTCCCACACAGGCTGAGAGCAAGGGTTAGGGTTAGGCAGGGCCCTGCCCCACCCCATGTCTTGAACCAGGACAGCCATGATACGAGGGTGACCAACGAGGCAAGTGGGTGTCAGAAACAACACGGCAAGGTGGTAGTGGAACGTGTGTCTGTCTGATTCATATTACAAGGAATTATAGAAACAGAAAAACCAACAAAGTGTTTTGCCTCAATCCCAACTTAAAGTTGTGGTTGACTGAAAAAAAAACAGTTTTGAATTGTTATTTCTGATTATAATCAGTCCGAGTTTGTCATGCGGGCTGAACATGAAAACGGTCTCCTATACCTATCTCTTGCATTTGCTTCTGACAGAAAAAAAAAATGGGGAAATGCTTGGATTTGAAAAATCTCACATCTGTGTCACACAGTGAATTTGCATTCATGGCCACGCCCATCTTAGCTAGCGCCTGCCCAAAGGAGGGCTTTTATTTTGCTGCGAGGACAGAGCGGAGAGTGTCTTGGTGATAGTGACTTCGCAACATGGCTGAACGCGTTCTGATAGCGTATCAGAAGGTAGGTGTGTGTGCATATCATTAATAATAATGGGTTGCCGTTTTCTGCCCACCTCTGCATCAGCAAACTATTGAATCTCTGAACAGGAGCATCATAGCTTTATTTTATTAACTCATAAGGCATTAATTTACACCCGAGAACACTGCAAATGCATTGAATAAATGAATAAACCACATCTTTAAAGATATAAGAATACATGGTGCTAGTCAATAAATCAAGCACACATGCAGCGCAATGGGCTGCACAAATAGACAAAAGGACATCAACGTAAAATTTCTAATTTCCAGCTAATCAAACATGGAGGCAATGGTTAACTGTAGAGATGTGTACTGGTGAAATTCTGATGAGACGATACATATCATGATACAGGGGAGACGATACAACATATCATGATAGAATGTGATATATTCAGCCAGACGATAATAGCAATTTTTTTAGACTGAATTTAATGTAGGAAAATTCAATAAACAGTCCAAACGGAAACAAAGCATGTTTAACATGAGTTATCTGAACCACGATAGAGGGATTTACATTTAAATGGTGGAAACAATACGCATTTGCTGCCAACTAGCGGTTGACATTTGAATTGCACCAAAAGAAAAGAAAGTCTTTTGTGTGTTAATTCTTCCAAAAATTCGATACACAGCTTTTGAATATTGATATAATATTGCAGGAAAAAATATCACGATAAATTGCGATAGATATTTTCTTACATCCCTAGTTAACAACCATGAATGGATGATCCATCTATTGTGGGAATCAAAATCACAAGACAGAATAAAGAAGTCAAGTATCTGCCCCACCTGTCCAGAAACAAGTTTTAGCCATCTAATGACTTGTATGCCTTTGGAACCAGGTTAAATTGTTTATTTTATTAATTATTACACAAAATGTATTCAAAACTGATCTGGAAGCTTTGAACTAAACAGTTACCTTTTAAGATCCAACTTCTTTAATAATCTGCACAGATGTGTAGGATGATCCGAAGTAGAAATGGCTAAATCCCAAGGTTTCATTACTTGGTTTCAATCGCAGAATCACGGCTCTGGATATCAGGTGCAGAAGCTCTTTTTGCTCTCCAGCATTGTGGGCGACAGCAGCACAGGTCTTAATTGCTCGCCCCGTAATCAGACGTTTCCAGGTTAAAGTCCCGCTCAGCCCGTTTCCGTCATTGTGTCCTTGGGCAAGACACTTAACCCACCTTGCCTGCTGGTGATAGTCGGAGAGACCGGTGGTGCCTGTGTACGGCAAACTCGTCTCTGTCAGTGCGCCCCAGGGCAGCTGTGGCTACAGTGTATCTCATCACGACCAGAGTGTGAATGACAGTGTTGTAAAGTGCCTTGGGGGGTTCTAGGACTCTAGAAGGTGCAAAATCAAATACAGGCCATTTACTATTGTGCACATGTGTGTTAATACCCGATTGAAAACAACAACTTTAAAAATGTGTGTATTAGTTTCAAAAGATACAAGTGCTATCCAGAAATTATAAAGCAGCTAACAAAATTGCAAAAAAAAAAAAAAAAAAAAAAAAAAAAAAAAAAAAAAACACCTACACAAAACTCGAGGGAACACACATACAACAGACAGAGACAGAGAGAGAGGGAGATCACAAACTGCAACAATACCTTGTGTTCATGACCAAACTGCATCATCTTTGAGAGGAATGTCTGAGGCCTTGAAAACAACCAGTTGCATGGCAACACATATGACTGCAGAAAATGAGTGAATCACAAGGCGATGGATACAAAGAGCAAAAACAAAACACACACACACTAAAACATTAATATTCCTTCAAGGCAACGAGGGGACATTCTTCTCATTCACACAAGAGGCCTGCACACTTCCTTTCTTGACAGCTCACACACACACACACACACACACACACACACACACACACACACACACACACACACACACACACACACACACACACACACACACACACACACACACACACACACACACACACACACACACACACACACACACACACACACACACACACACACACACACACACACACACACACACACACACACACACACACACACACACACACACACACACACACACACACACACACCTTCCTGTGCATACCGTCAAGAACCATTCACAGCTTCCTGGAAATTTCCATTTGAGCAGGTCCCTATGCTTGTATGGTGGTTAATGCAAAAGGTGGTATAGAAACAAACCTCTTTAAATGTTTGTCTTCATCATAAGGCAGAGACGATACAATGGCAAAACAATAAAAACTCACTCTGAACACTTAGGGAGTGTTAAATGCTGTTATTTGATTGTCTCTAAATGTTCAACCAAGGACTGTAATAGCAAATTAGCCTCTGGCTAGAACCCCCTGTACAAAGCAACCGTTGCTTTGCCCTTTCATGTAACATTGTCTTTTGTGCTATCCTGGTACAATAAAACCAAACTTAACACAAGCAACACATCAATCTTCAGATTCCAGACAGTCATGGAGAAAAGTTCCAGTTCTGTGTGGTACAGCCACATGAGGGTAGACTCAATGATACCTGGAATATTCTGTGGTTATGATTTTGTAGCTGTTATAAAAGTGTGAAAACATTCCTGTTTTCAGTCCCCCTGGAGATAAAACTTCATGTTGTCAGCCCTTCTGGACTCGAGCTAACTTACAAACCAGCATTTGACTAACTCATCGCATCACCTTCGGCTGCACACACGTCTGTTTGCATGGGAGGAAAGATGGACACAAAACGGATACTGCTGTGCAACCACATCAGAGACTTCATGAGGTTTACAGTATGTCTGAGGTCTTGAGATCAGTGCAAAAATTCTGATTATCTTATTGATACGTAGAGGCCATCAAGTTTCTTGTCTTCGATAAGAAAGCTTTAAATAGTCTGTGCACTCTGAGGCATTCCCTCTATGCTCAGTCTTAAAATATTCCCTCTCATGTGCAATTCAGCACCTTTAGTCAGAAACACAAAATGTGCACAAATTACTTTTTAAAATTCCAGCACTTCACTCAGAAAGTAAGTTAATGAGTTAAGCTTATTATTTCTAAATATCAATTTGCATCTTGATTTTAAGGCTCATTAGCTGAAAAAAAAACAAACAAAAAATAATTATTAACAAGGTGCTTAGATACAGCGACTGACTTTGTGATATAGCTTCTGATTTGAACTCATCTATATGATCCTGGCCGCTTTTCACATTGGCCTATCGCTGAATTCACAAGTGCACTGACACTGCATGAAGCAGCCAATAGCAAGGCATGAGGAAATGGTCTTGGATGGCTGTCAGGCAGGGAGCAGTGAATGACCATATATGGTAAAATCTGCAGTCAGCAGGAATGAGCGGCAAAGGCAGAAGCAACCGAGCAATGTGGAGGTCTTTAAACGTAAATGACTGATGAATTAACACACACCATGGATATCATGAACACCCAGTGGATTTTTGCTTTTAGAGACAAATTAGCAAAGCTGATGATACAAAACGTTCCACACTGAACACATCCTGGAATCACTAAAAGCTGTACACAAGATAAACGAATCATTAAAGAATTAAATCAAACACGCTTTACATCTGATGATTCTAGAGGAAACACTGCATGAAAAACATCCGATGACTAAAACGGCGTCTGAATAAATCAAAGTCAGATTTATAAGCAAGATAAATGAATGTATTCATAATAATTTGCCTATGCTTCCTTTTTAGATTAGCAGAGATTTTAGAAACATTAAATGTTTGTTAGATAACAGGGAATAAATGAGCTGGAATCCAGCAATGAATGAGAAAAGGAAGATTGAAGGCATCAGGGAAGGGGATGACATGTGTTTAGCTCGACATCTGATCCCCTCACTATACATCCCCATCCTCTACATCTGATCCCCTCACTATACATCCCCATCCTCTGACAGGAGGAAGCAACAATACCCATGGTTATGCTGAGTCAGGGCAGCCTGCCCCATACCCATGTGAGTCATTCAGAGCCGCCCCATCACCCGACAGCTCAAAATGACACTCAGACCACAAGAGCTGCTGATTCTTAGATCAATTCAAATTTACAATAAAGAATAAATATCTAGTAGTATGTACTTCCTGAAGAGATCATTCAATAGTTTGTTATTCTATCTTTATAAAAGAAAGCACTTGGGGGAGGGGTGAAGAAGCACAATCCCACTTTTGCCTGCACAATAACAACCCCCCTAAAGACCAATAATGACAAAAGGCTGAAATGGGTGTAAATGAAGGACAAAAGCTCAGAGCAGCTGGCTGCCAACAGACATGCAGCACTACATCACAGGCAGATGGGCAAGATGGACAGATGCACCCTAAAGTTAGAGTCCGGGGGATGAACAGACTGAGGGAATTTCAAATTAAATTCACATTATTATAACTGTCCAAAGCCTCAATCTTGTCCAAACAGCTGAAGTTCAAAAAAGCTCATGAGAAAATAATTATGATGGCAAACTTTAAAAATGTAAATATCATGTTTTTGTCATGATGTACTAAAAAGTATTCCACATGGAGTTTAACACTAGTTCACTACACTGCAGTCCAGTCATACCGTTTCTGGGAACAGACCTGTCCCACTTTTCAGACCTGTATCGCCCACTGAGATTACACTCACAAAAAATATATAATTCGACAACAACACAGTAACAAAGGCTAAAATAAATGTCAATGTGTGCGCACACACAGTCAGCCACAACAAACTCAATTTTTTCCTCTGGAAGTGTTCCTCTAATTCCAGTCTCTCAACACAAGGACAGCTGAAATGAGAAATATACTGAAGCTTACAGACTGGTTTGTCAACACTGCCTTTAAAATGTAAAGCCCTCTAAAAATCACGTCTTAAGGATCTCTCTGGATTTTCTCTGCACACAAAGTCTCTCTCAACAGCTTAGTGGTAAAAATAGTATTTGTGTTATTGCTGAACTAATGTCATTTAGGACCCGGCATGCAGAAAGCTGTACACATGAAGACAAATGCTAAGAAAATAAATAAAGGAGAAGGGCAGGAAGAGCGTGAAAGCCCAGAGCTTCTAGCCCACCTCCAGAACAAGCTCTGCATTGAATCAGGTGATGAGAGCTCTAAGCTGTGTGTGATGACAGGTCTGAATTTGCTCCCCATGCCAGGGTCTTCTCATGTGACATTGTAGTTCAGCGTTGTGCACTAATTACAGACCAAGGGTTGATCTGTCAACAGCGTTGCAGTGCTTATGTCACTCATAGTGTTAAGACCTGCTACTTGATCTCTGCTCGCAGTCAGTAAGAAGAAACGCAAGAGGCAAAAGATTCACCCACAACCATAATGTCACCCAGGAGATCTCAAGAGGACACAGAGGCTATATTAAATTAGAGTCTGACCTCTATTACACAGTATTTAATCCCATTATGATAGCAGGTTTAAGATAACGGAGGTTAGATGTACTAACTTGGTTATGTAGTTAACACGTAAGAAAAATAAAACTCTTCACATGCAGTCTGGCCCAGCCATAGTGTAAATCAGTGGAGTGATTCCTTATATGGAGACAAGAATCAGGAGACTGTTGGCTTCGGGGCTGCAGGGTAGTTTCTGTTTTACACGTAAGGGGGTGTGTCAGCCAGCCTGCTGGTAAACATTAATCCCAAAATACACCAACATCCAGTTCTGCAGTTGCTTCAAGTAACAGGTAGTTTTTCATGCAAATTATCGACTTAAATGAACATAGAAAACTGACCCACAAAATACAAGAAATTTAGGTTTAATATTGTTTTCATTTAGCAAATATGGCTACACACAAAGTAAGCGCCATCACACAATCTTACTGGTTAGTTCAAGTGCTTTACATAGTCAACTCTGACTTACCTTATGAAGAGGGAGAACAAGGAAAGCGCCACCACCACTGGCCTCAATAATTATAGCAACAAACTTGGGATTGACTGCACAAAAGGAGCTGTCCCATGTGACCCTGGAAACTCTGATGTCATCGTAGCATTGGTCATTCTTCACCGCCTGGCCAAAGACGTGACGGAACTTGCTCTGTCGTACAACTCGTCTCATATCTGCAAAATGTGCCAAATGGAAGATTTACCTTTCAACATTTAGTACTTTCCTTTAAAATGAATTAGGTTAAAAATCAATCGTGCAGGTGCTCAAGATGAATGGTAAGAAAGGATTTTCCCAAAACATTCAGTGCATCTGTTCAAAAGGCACAGAAGATAGTTTTTAGGGAAAGCCTTGTGTCTGCAAGATTTTTTAAATCAAAAACCTTCATTTCTAAATATTTAATTATTAATTTTGGGGAAGTTCCCTTATCTGTCATCAGGTATTTGATCATCCAACTTGTTCAGCGAGTTTGCCAAAATAAGTAAAAACAAAACAGCTCAAAATGATTAGCAACATTTTCTGTTCTGTGTAAAATATATTCTAAAGAAACGGGCCTCTGAAAAAAGAAAACAAGCATATTTTATGATGTGTTATAGCGTTTTAACGGTTTCCATAACAGTTGTTTTCCCTCGAATATATTTCATCGTGTCAAATATTTAACATCTGAAACGCCAGAAGCATTTATCTTTTGAACTGAAACTAAACGGGCCACTTCCAGAGGGGATTTGACAAACCCAATCCAAACAAAAACAGACATTGTGGCTGGTTCAGTGAAAATCCCCACCAAGACAACAATCTGCTGGCAGACCAGAGAGCTGTGGGATACTTGCTCATTCAAAAGCTCCATGTCCCACTGCTCCACTTAAAACAACAGGACACTTCCAAAGATAATGGAAAGCTGGCCAACAGCAGATTAAAAAAAAAAGAAAAAAGAAGGAGTCCAGCCTCACATACGGCCTACAGAAGGAAAAGGTATGAATTATTTTGTGAAGCTTCATTTTTTTTGGTTTGCATTAGTAATGGCATATGGGAACAGTTTCCGAGACCAAAGCGCAACACAGGATGTGGGACGTGTTTGTGAGGTGTTTTTCCTCTTCTTTGTGTGTGTGTGTGTGTGTGTGTGTGTGTGTGTGTGCAGATGAAGACGGTAAGTGGGATAACCAAGTCATGTTTGGCTTATTTGACAAAATAATTTAAACTACAATGGCAAACTTGGAAAACAGAATTAGCTGAAAACATTTTTCATGCCTCTTAACTAGAGCTCAACGAATATTGTTTTTTCCATTGCCGATACCGATATGTGCCATCAGCCGATATGTACAGACAATTTTATGGCAGATATTCGGAAGTTTTCCACCTTATTTTCATGCTAAAACGTCACTAGTAACATCAGTTGATGCACAAAAATTCTGAAGTTGAATCAGTTTTTGAACTTTGAATTTAACTGTTAAACCTTAACGTTGTGCACTGCTCAGTGTTACAGTCAGACACCTAAATAAAGTTAATTTGGAGTATTTACAATGCAGGGGCCTCATTTATCAAGCTTGCTTGCTTACGCACAAAACCGGGTTGGAAAACTGTAAGCAACTTTCCACACAAACTTTGGGATTTATCAAAGAAAACTTAGCGGAAAACTGTGCGCAACTTTAAGTTAACTAAGGACCTTGCTTACGCACATTTTGGATATGGAGAGCACCTGCAGTGCTGCTGCTGAGAAGGATAAAATTATGAAATCCTGCAGCATTATCACTTGTACTGCTTCGTTTTCACACAGAACAAGACCCCCACACGCACACACACACCCTGAAGCGCAGAATACGGAATGCAAAAAATCAGCAGGGGGGCAGATTGAGACAGAATGTTGTGTGCCCTGTCACTGTGGCCCGATAGATCATGCGCCCTGGCTACTTGGACAAGGGAGATCTCCGTTTGGCTGACTGGTTAGCGTGTGTGACTTTCACCCGGGAGTCTGGGGATGAAATCTTGATAGGATCTTTTTTTTATATCCGCCACAGATCTCTCTGAAGAACTCAGCATTGACGGCTTCAGCAACACTGTGCCACTCCGTGGATTTTCTCTTATTTGTTTTGCAAAAGCACTTCCTTTCATTTCTCCACCTCACCCACAAGTACCTGAATTTCTGCTTGTGAAATAGCGCTTCCTTGATCTGCGGTCGTGATCGAAATGCTGCAACAAGCTGGCTTATGTATATGCATGAGAACCACAAGGCACTTTGCATCGACCATTTATGGCAGTAAGTGGGCGTAGTGAGGGCGGGATGTGACTAAAAAGCAGCTGAGAAACTTTATAGATAGTTTCTGATTTATGAAGCGGCGATTGCGTGCAGCTGTGCATACTCCATGTTTGATAGATCACAAACCTACTTGGCGCAAGTACATTCTTTTTTCTGAGCTTAAGTACGGTTTTAGTAAGGATTCTACGCAATGTTTGATAAATGAGACCCCTAATATTAATATTGAACATAAATATACATTTAAATAAAATTTTGCCCAAGGATGTGCCTGATTTTAAATTGGCTTTACTTCAGACAGATATTGGCTGATGTATAAAAACTGGTAAAAATCTGCTCGATATATTGGTCTACCTCTAGTCCAACAATGTTTTAACAGTGTAGCTATAAATATAATGTGGAGATTAAAAAAGAAATGAAAAAAAGTAATAAAGTGGTTCTCTCACATGGGTCTAAAACCCTCTGCCAACAACACATTCGAACCAAAAGCAACCATTGGATTATCCAGTTGTCAGTCTCGCAGAACGACCACACTTCCTTGGGTCCTACATTCATTGTTCTGTAATAGTTCCTTTACTATTGTGATAAAAAATCTTTAATTTAATTTTTATTTAATTTATTTATTAGGTGCACCTGACCTGTGCTATTTTTCTCTGAAATGAGATCAAATCAGTGCTTCTATGGGTTGTCTCGTCTCTGCACTAGAAAAATGTACTTTATTATAATGTTCACTGTAATGCATCTTGATATTCTTAACAATAAATTAAATCAAAGATATTGGTCAATAATGCCAAATATGTAAATTTGTGTTTCAGTCATTTTTATAAAAATACTTAATTAAGTCTACTAAGCAGGGGTGTAGAACGTGTTTAATAGGGCCAGCCCAGTAATGATCTTGGACCAACATAAAGGGGGCAGAAAGTCAAGTACAGGGGGGCAAAAGGAGATGTTTTTCCAAACGCCAAGAAAAATTAAATGCCAAATCCCCCTGCAAAGTGTGTCACTGAGAGTTTAAAACAAAAATTATTCTTGTGCAAATATTGGTGTATTCACCTTTAATACTAGTTATTAAAATGCAGCAGTTGCTGGATTAGTGCAGTTCAGAGTGGAGTGCATCAAATAAAGCAATATTAACATAGATGAGATGTGTCATGTGTAGAATCCTTACTAAAACCGTACAGGTGCTGGCCAGTAAATTAGAATATCATCAAAAGGTTGAAAATATTTCAGTAATTCCATTCAAAACGTGAAACTTGTACATTATATTCATGCAATGCACACAGACCAATGTATTTCCAATGTTCATTACATTTAAATTTGATATTTATAGGTGACAACCAATGAAAACATCAAATCTGGTATCTCAGAAAATTAGAATATTCTAAAGGCCAATGAAAAAATGTTTGTTTCTCTAATGTTGGCCAACTGAAAAGAATGAACATGAAAAGAATGTGCATGTATAGCACTCAATACTTAGTCGGGGCTCCTTTTGCCTCAATAACTGCAGTAATGCGGCGTGGCATGGACTCGATCAGTCTGTGGCACTGCTCAGGTGTTATGAGAGCCCAGGTTGCTCTGATAGTCGTCTTCAGCTCCTCTGCATTGTTGGGTCTAGCGTATTGCATCCTCCGCTTCACAATACCCCATAGATTTTCTATGGGGTTAAGGTCAGGCGAGTTTGCTGGCCAATCAAGGACAGGGATACCATGGTCCTTGAACCAGGTGCTGGTGGTTTTGGCACTGTGTGCAGGTGCCAAGTCCTGTTGAAAGGTGAAGTCTGCATCCCCATAAAGTTGGTCAGCAGCAGGAAGCATGAAGTGCTCTAAAACTTCCTGGTAGACGGCTGCATTGACCCTGGACCTCAGGAAACAGAGTGGGCCAACACCGGCAGATAACATGGCACCCCACACCATCACTGACGGTGGAAACTTTACACTGGACCTCATGCAACGTGGATTCTGTGCTTCTCCGCTCTTCCTCCAGACTCTGGGTCCTTGATTTCCAAAGGAAATGCAGAACTTGCTTTCATCAGAAAACATAACTTTGGACCACTCAGCATCAGTCCAGTCCTTTTTGTCCTTGGCCCAGGCGAGACGCTTCTTGCGCTGTTTCTTGTTCAAGAGTGGCTTGACACACGGAATGCGACACCTGAATCCCATGTCTTTCATGAGTCTCCTCGTGGTGGTTCTTGAAGCGCTGACTCCAGCTGCAGTCCACTCTTTGTGGATCTCCCCCACATTTTTGAATGGGTTTGTCGTCACAATTCTCTGCAGGGTGCGGTTATCCCTAGAGCTTGTACACTTTTTTCTACCACATTTTTTCCGTCCCTTCGCCTGTCTGTTAATGTGCTTGGACACAGAGCTCTGCGAACAGCCAGCTTCTTTAGCAATCACCTTTTGTGTCTTGCCCTCCTTGTGCAAGGTGTCAATGATTGTCTTTTGGACAGCTGTTAAGTCAGAAGTCTTCCCCATGATTGTGGTGCCTTCAAAACAAGACTGAGGGACCTTTTAAAGGCCTTTGCAGGTGTTTTGAGTAAATCAGCTGATTAGAGTGGCAGCAGGTGTCTTCTATATTCAGCCTTTTCAGAATATTCTAATTTTTTGAGATACCAAATTTGGAGTTTTCATTAGTTGTCACTTATGAATATCAAATTTAAATGTAATGAACATTGGAAATACATTGGTCTGTGTGCATTGCATGAATATAATGTACAAGTTTCACGTTTTGAATGGAATTACTGAAATATTTTCAACCTTTTGATGATATTCTAATTTACTGGCCAGCACCTGTACTTAAGCTCAGCAAAAAATGCACTTACGCCAAGTAGGTTTGTGATCTATCAAACATGGAGTACGCACAGCTGCACGCAATCTCCGCTTCATAAATCGGAGACTAACGAGAATGTTTCTCAGCTGCATCTTAGTC